ATTTTCTAGTACAGTAGCACTTTCCTTTGCTTGGGCCCTTTGCTGTGCTGGCTCGGTGAGAAGGTCTGTGTGGGATCGCTGCTCAAATCCTGTTAAGCTTAAAGTCTAGTACCACGATGGTTACCGCGCATCTTCATAACCATGTCCCTTAACAGTGTCCTCCTACCTGATCGGAGTATGTCGCACAACGATAATTTAGATATTAATAATAATAGTTATCGTTATTCTTAGATTGCATTGAGTGACCGGATAGTATAATTATGCAAGTTATATCGACGAAAAGTGTATCAACGCATGTAACCCCAATAGGGCCTAACGACCTTCGTTGTTCAAATGCTATCAAATACTGCTAGACAAAAAAGGTCGCTGGCATCTGGAAGTTCTTGATGCCTATAAAATACCATTTGAAGAACCAGAAGACCCCAATAAGCAAATCTAATCTTGCGAGATTATTTTGCTGCGAAGAATACGAAAATAAGTACGAAGATAGATTTTCAATTTACGGTCCGTTCACAAGTCGAAATTAAAGCACTATCTCAGAAACAATGTATTGCGAAATTCTCCCAGTTTTAGAGAGCGTACTATGTAATTCGCCGTTAACGATAAAAGCTGAAACCATCACAGTTGAGTACACAAAGTTCTATGGTAAACCTTCCCTGAACATCACATATAATAATGCGTTTTTGTAGATACACGTAAGTGTTCAGTGTAAGAAAATACCATGGGGCATCTGATACAAATTGAAGCAGTTCATTTTTTTACGGTCATCAAATTCGGTCTACATGGCCTTATCGCTTCCAGTTCTAGGTATTCTATTACTTCCAGTTTTTATGGTAATTAGAACGGGGTGTTAAATGTTTAGGGGACCGGAAGGGTAGGGGAAAATAATAGCTAACAGTTTGACTTGATTCAACGAGTCTTCATTTAGCTTTTTGCTCTACACATTGATTCGAGCTAGTGACGACATTCGAAAGCATATCTTTGACTAATTTTCTCGGAAAATGCATGTGTGGCCTGAAAGCCTTTTGGCGCTGTTATCCAAGCTGCACCTGAAGATTCCTCTTTCAAATTCGATCTAAACTTATACTGTTTTTCTTAATGTCAACGACATGCAGCGTTTGATCGACTACCACTTGCACCAAAAAAAAAATCAAAAACGTCAGTACTTGTACGAAAAGAAAAAAACATTTTCACTTTTTTTCAGCGCGCCAACAACATGCTTCTACTTAAATCGTTCCTCTTACCGAGGCACATAAAGGACTGTATTGAAGACATGCTAGGTACCTTCAATGAGTATGTCTATAATTAATGCCTTCGACCGCCTGGTCTTCTTATAAAAGTAAAGATCTTCACAAAACCGATTTGCATGTGGCGTACACACTCATTTACTATGGATGTTTTTGTTTGGCTAACAACAATGCAGGTCTCTGCCCTCACCATGAGACAGAAAGCATAAAGCGTTGTGCCCAAAGCCTTCCTGTTATGCGTTTTTCCTCTGTCTATTTTTTGTTTAGCGAGCTATATATCCGCCGAAGGCAATGTCTCGTACAGGTTACGTATGCTGTGTGGTGATATTGTGACAGCCGAGTAATATAAATCCCTCAGCATATTAATATGAATAGATTCACAAATGTTGGAGCATGTAATCTTTCTATGCATTTTGTTCTTATCATTATTTCTACTAAAAAGGATATTAAAATTAAATGCTACGTGTTAGGAAATCCCATGCGCGGATTTGATGTTTTAAACTTTAGGTAGATTTTTGGCCAGCCTTGGCTCAGAATGCTCAGAGTTTGCACCTTCCGTACCTTCTGTATGCGATGCTCTCGTTTGATCGATAGTCGTTCGTTTGATGAAAACATTTTTGCTGTTAGGAGATGATTGACGATGATAGTTAGCGGTAACTAAATTGAAAACAATCGATTTTCGACCAATAGATTGTTACCCAGCAAACAAAGGTTTCACAAAGTTCCGCTAGGTATATTTGTTTGCAATTTCTCAAGCTACAGCGGATATCGTAAGTCACCAAGGCTGAATTTATTGAGACATAGTATTTGATAATTTATATGCTGTGAAGTTTCCCTTTATCTATTTTGAAAAATTGCTCGTTTTGAGGCTAATTCTAGGAGTAATATCCAGTTCATACCACGTACCTCACTTGAGTAATGATCATGAGGGGTACAATTCATATTTACTAGTTTGGGATCTACAGGATGGGCCGCTAAATTGGGGTGCCAGGCTTATCCTTGCTACGATTTTACCCAGTACTAGGCTTCTATTGGGATTTTAAAACACGTTGGAGCATTTCGCGGAAAAGCTGAGCGTTTCTATTGCAGGGGTATATAAACTGAATATATATAGGCTTGCAGAATAAAACTGCGTTACAAGGGCAAGCGCTGGCTCCTGCAGCATTAATGACTGCAACTCATGTACGCGTGAGAGCATAGAATTTAACGACAATCACATATCCGGACGTGGTTTGCGTTTGCAGACTCAAGCACAAAATAAAGGACACATAAAATTTACTTTTCTTCAACACAAGTAAAACTTATTCTAAACTTCAACTGTCAAAGTCGCAAAGCCGAGCTCATGCAAGATAACAGAAATCACCAGACTAATAGAAGTGACTTAACTTTACCCTTGGCATCTGCTATTTCGCTTGACAATCTAGCTCGTCATAACGCACTTACACGCTGAATATAGATGTATAAAAAGTTAGGCACGCAATGCCCAAGGTTCCGTACCTCGATCTAAAATAAAACTCTGCTAGCAACTGAGCGAGCCAACATACACATTACGGTCAGCTTTTTTGTACAAAGCACGTTTCATAATAGTGACCTGCTAAAAAACCTGCTAAGTCTTGAGCTGATATCAATTTATCGAGATAAAGTATCTTTTCAAAAAGGAAACAGCGGTCTTTCTTTTTGTAAGTTTTTTTTTTTCAATATTAGTGTTTATAGAAAACGGAATGAAAGGGTACCTCTGTATACTTGATTGACCAATAAAAATAACTGCGTCACCCACAACAGAGTCGACGAACCTTAAGAAGAAGCTTCTCTTAGAAATGTCTAGCCACCGTTCCTCGCCTGGCTGACCTCCACTCTAGTTATAAGGTGGTTTGTTGCTTTTTGCTAGACCTTTTTTTGCTAGCCAATAATTTTTCTTCGCAAGAAATATTCCAAACAAAATGTTTCGCGTTTAACGTCCGTCACCGCCACAGGTCTTCCATTAGACGACTGATCCCTAGCACAAAATGAAGTGTTTGTCTATGTTTATATTCGACCGTAGACCACCGCGTGTCTCTAAAATTAGCAGACAAATATGTTATTCACTATTATGGCGACTCTAAAAATGATTCTGCGGGTTAGCAAAAGCTCAGAGACCTTTCACAAATTCTAATGGACCAATCTCATTTAGCTTTTTTTTTTGTACGCTTTCTTTTTCGTTCCATTTGGTGGATTCTAGGCCGTAAAGGTCCGAATGACAAAAAAGATATTTTCGCTTTCTCATAGGTGTTTTTCTTTTGTGATGCCAAGCGGTGTTCGCAGTATGCCTAAGGAGCCCTGCCTCTTCCGCTACATCTACCCAAAACGGTTCTACCATCGTCGGCCACAATCATACACAGACCTTTAAAAATGGTGTCTTTTTTTCCTTAACTTTGATATTTTTACCAATGTATTGGTTGAGTAGGCAGCAACTCGCGTTGACACCAACGAAGTGGAATAAGTCCATTTTAAATAAGTATCTGTGTGCAAGAAAGAAAATCTGTATTGTGGTTTCATTATCGTTTCATGGTGTAAGGTAATAAGTAAACATCTCTGAAAGTATAAAGACGCTCACACTTCGCGCATAGAAACGAAATTCAGTACCGAGCAGAAATAGGGATAGCGAAAAGAATAACATCAAAAAAAAACAGGGTTATACAATATTAAAGCGTAAGCCAGGTATGTTAGAGAAAGCGGGGTTGTATAAGCCGAAATCGCTATTATTGAGAACAAGCGGTGCCGGAGTAGAGAAAAAACTTGTATAAAAATCCACTTCGTTCGTCGACGATTCCTTAGTTCAACAGAAATAGGCTCAATACAATTCATTCTTACCGAAGAAATATCGGTCGAAGACACCTTGGTCGTTGGCCCATACAGTACCACAAAAAAAAGGATCGTGGTTCCATTAGCCAATAATTGATTCGTGCGTAGAAGTTATTCATTCAATAGAACTTAGAATAAGCTGAATTATACCTTGATGGCAGATAGTTGTTTCCATGTTTCTGTGAAACTAGCATCGTTGCCGTTCGGCTTTATGTACATATTCGAAATTCAGGGGCCTATATTGCCTTATATGACCCTAACTTTCCGGTTGGTTAGACAATACAACTCGATGTAGTGACTTATATAGAACATAACTTGCTTTTAGTTCTTCTTTGAAAATGTAATGAAGATAAGGGAAACTGAAATGAAAAACGAGATGGCTACTTCGTACTCTTATCCTTCAACAGACCTTTGCTGAAGTACGCAAAAAACGCTCAGATGCACCACCCTTTAAAAACTGGTAGAAGAAAAATCTAGTAGAGTGAAGTTGCACCAAGGTTCTCACCAGTACCCATCAAAAAAATTGCTTCTCTGAGGGATTCTCTAACTGCCATAAATCTGATAAGGAGTTTGTTTCTCAGCCATATATCCTGAACCATATAGTTCCTACAAAGGGTTGTAGTAAGCCCGTACTTCCCGTAACGCATATACCTATACTTCGAGTAATGTTCGCAACCATCGGGCTTTCTTTAATGAAAGCACTCCTTGATTGTCGACTGTCATAATCATCATAATAATAAGATAATCAAATGCTGAACACGCAAGAAATCCGACGCATATCAAACTCCATACGGCAGTCTCAAAACCAAGATATTTGTGCCTAGGTTCACACAAAAAGGTTAAATCCAACGAAATTCAGCTATCATGGCTTAAGGCGTTATGAACAATCATGTCCTATTATAATACACTTACCTCCCTGTTCGTCGAGAGCGACCAAAGTTCTGATACCGGCTTCTTTGCTCTGAAATCAACGACAGTATTCTTAATTGACAAATCTGACGTTGCTTATGACTGTGGTATATTCAAGGAGTTTTATTATAAATTATTCGTTTTCTATGAGAAAAGTGATCGTTACAAATGCCGTTGTCGAGGTGTCTTGGGAATAAGATTAGAATCGCGCACAATGCTAAAATCGATAACAGTTGCATTAGGTCTATGTCTACCGTGTGTTAAACAACTTCGCTAGTTTAGTCTGTGTGATCCGACAACATATTCGAGCTTACTATTGAATTACTCATCATTGAATCAGTGTGTCACAAATTATTGTATGGTCGTTCGTTATGGGTACATGATTATAATCATCAGCTAGCAAAACGTAAACGTACGGGCAAAACTCTGCTAGGGAAATACGCATTGAAAACTTTTATTGCTATTTTTTTCTTTATGAAATAAACCTGGTTAGGTTTATACACTGTCCACTAGATTTAGTTTTTATCTTAGTCTTATATTATTATATTCAACGAGCTAGCTTGACCTCTACGTAAGCCATGAGGCCACTTCACTATGAGTGGCTCGGTGTATAAAAGAAAAATTAAAGGTCATGATTCAAGTAGAACTCAATAAGTTTCTGCGATCAATCGTGATAGTTAGGGAGTCTAGGTCATTTATTCTGAGCGAAGACGTAAAATATCGCGCTGGGAGACAAAAAAAAACCTTATAAAACTCGTGCTTGTCTTGCTTTCATCACCCAACTGCATACGATTGCCATTTGCCCCATCAGGCATACTGGCTAGATTCGAGTTTTGGCTGGATTTCATGATTGCCCCTGGCATCGATAACGTACCGAACGTCGGTTAGATGATGTTGGATGCATGGCGTGCACAGATTTCACAATATGAAAAGGCTATGAACCCTCGGCACATTTGCAACAACCGCATCCCTGCAGGCACTTATTGTTCTTGAATCTGCTCTGGCTGAGCAGAGACTAGGAAACAAGAGCTCCAGTACTCCACTAGGGAGGCCCCATAAACGAAAGGCACGTGTGGATCCAAGCGAATGAGCAGATCTGTTCTCTATACAAGGCAAGTTATCTTGATACTTTATCTAATCCCTTTCGAATCCTCTTACCGATCTGTACAAAACAGAGCAACGTGACCGCACTTTTCTAGACCATACAAACATCACCAAGGTAAAGGTATTCATGGTTGCGGCCGTTATTACCGACGGCTGTGTTCTTTTTTAGACTGGTGTTGCTAATGGGTTTGCAAGAACCGCCAATGCACTGCTGAGAATGACAGGTACGACAGAGTCCTGGCTTTCGCCAGAAGAAACTCATGGTAGATTCTGCCGCAAACAGAAAGGCTGAGGAAGATCGTGCACCAGTACGAGATAATGGTGGAAGTAGATGCACGACTGAGGCTTGCTTGGTTCAAATTTCAGAAATGACATCGTTCACTAAAACATCTGACAGTATCAGACGGTGCTTGAGCCACTGAGTGCTGCCGATACCGACAAGCAATGTTGATGAGATAAAATTATTCAGACATTTGTTTGGGACTTCGGAGTTATCCAACACCCATTCGTATGCTTTTCACTACTCGCTACATGTTTCCAAGTTCTTCAGACGGTTTACTATTTGCAAGGTTATTTAGGATTTAATTCAATGTTAATACAGCCAATCTGTAAAATGCCATCCTGTCACTAATGTCAGTTATCTTTCAGAGTTTTTCGTAGATAACTATTTATGCAAGTAACAGAAACTGTAAATAACTATTTCATATTTGTCCACTAGTTAAGGCCTCTATTAATCATTAAACGCAGAATAGTTTTTTAAGTATTATTACAAAGGTCACAAGTCCCTGCACGATTACGTTAGTAAGGTGATCATCTAATACTAAAAAACAACATTCTTTGAGATGATTACCCTATCTAGATTGCGTTTCCCTATTCTTATTATGTGGCATTCGATGTTCTACGTTGTTCGTGGCAAAGCCCGTGCACCTGCCAGCCTGCTAGATCAATTTCAAGTAGCTGCGCAACATCTGGACAACATCTATATGGAGACATCGTGTCGCTCGGTCCTGGCAGAGGGTATCTGTACCGAAATACGTAATCGACGCCAGCGCACGGTGTCATACTCGTCGCCATTTTCGGCCGCTTCATTCTCATCGAAATGTATGAATGACGTTACGAAAGAGCAAAGCAGGCGATTTCTCCACGATACTGCCCGCTCTTTCCTCAGCAGTACTTTACTGGCATAGGACAAATGCAAGGGAGAAAGAGGAGGAGGATGAAACTAGCGTGTATTTCTGTAGCGCCACGCCAGCCATGGATCACGAGTAGACTTCATTTGGCTTTTTTTTGGGCCCTCCTCTTCGTTGTTCTATTTCTTTTCGTTGTCTCTGTCTGATCTTCTTTCTGGAATGCTAGGCCGTATTTCAACGCCTGGCGGCAGAACATCAACTGCCATTGCGAACCTGCCGCAACTCAGCCATGACGGCGCTGCTTTCTGTGCTTCACCTTGTCCATCTGGATCTCGGCGTTTCCTTTTAGAAGTACAGGACGATCAAAGCTACGAAAGGTTCTCTTCGCTCGAACCCGTGCCGTACGTTTAGTTCGTCGCATCAATCCGTTCGGCTGTTAAAGCAGACAATCGTCCAATCGATTCAAAATTGAAAATGGAATAGAACTGCCCAGGACCTTAACCTATACTAAACGAATACCAAGGACATTTCAGGGTGAGCGCGAGCCAACTCAACTAACGGGCAGTTAACCCAATATACGGTTCATAGTTATACAGCTACCCTTCTCATTCATATAAGTAGTAGAAAAATTATTTTCGATGTACCCACGAAACGGCCATGTTTCCGTTATCACTTCATCACGTCTAAACACACGGTCTTCTATTCTGCTATTATAAGAAGGTACTAGTGTACTGTCTGTGTCCACAGACGTAATAGATCAAATGGGATAGAATAGATATTACGCCCGTCGTTGAGACGATCTTGTTATGATTACATCTTCGCTTTCTAACGGTTAGAAGAGTCACAAGATCAAACCACGCTCAAACATCTACGCTGGGATAACGTTAAAGACTAACATATGCCCAGGCCATTTAAAATTTTTGTATACAAATCTCCTGTACAACTGATAATTATATACAGATGCTGCGCGAATGAAAGAGTGCACGATATATTCGGATAGTAATAGTCGTACTGAATTATCACTCGTCTACTTCTATTTTCGTGCTAACGAAGGCTGTATACAAATATTTCAAGATACCACTGGACAAGTTTTCTTAAGAAGAAGGCCGAACTCAACAATCAATACTCATTCGAGTATAGGATGAACGATTTGTGTCGATGCACAATTATGGTATATAGACAATACTAGAAAAAGCTGATTCGAGAAGCAAGACGTGCTCATAACGGCGAAGAACGCTGTGATGAACAGCTAACTTATGACTGTCGGGAGAAGGGCATAGTTTCTAAATAATGTGGAACGTCTTTCGGACCCAGGGCAATTGATGACCTTGCACCTGTGTTCTCTTCGCAGTGAGCCTATTGGTCTTCTCCGGACAGGTATCTGATATTTTAGTAAACTTGGAACAGTTGTATTTTCATCTCAAGCAAGCATACCTACATACATACAATGAGAAAAATAGTACGCTTCAGAATTGTTCTGGTGAAGCTTTAGCATGTTTCATGGAGTTATTAGATGAAGTAAATGCGTATAATTTTCGGACGGCGCTCTGCCAAGCAGATGTACGGATGCTATCGAAAATTCACGAGTAATGCCAGAATCTTCCCAGACGTCAGCACCACAACCATCGATATGCACTTACGGGCATAACTAAATAGGAATGACAAAAGCAATCTTTTGAAGTTTTCCAATAGTTATTTAGCAAAACGAGTCAGGTCTGGGCTAAAATCTAGAAGCTTTACCCATTAGCCCAGATTCGATTTTAGGGTAGGATTTTCTCCAGCTTCCCTATCGATGTGATTTACATTTGCAAATTTTTAACAGCGAAATCTACGCCTACGCCAGAGTCAGTACTAGTACCAGTTTGATAAAACCCCTGATCCGCATCGAGGAGAACGTTGTGTCACACGTATAGAGCATCCAAAGCATCACGCGAATAACAATGAGGGTAAGTATAGCAGGTGGTACGAGCGTGCCTTCTAACTACCCGCCAACTAGTCAAACCTAGGTGACATCCGTGGCACCAATACCCGATATGCTTCTCAGACTGACGAACTAGAAATAACAAAGTCGACATATACAAGCCCTACCCAAAAAGAAAGTGATCCCCTCAACCATCTAGGGCTCGACCTCGACGTACTAGACGGGGCCGCAGTAATCATCGAATGCACGATACATTGCTTTGACTGTCTTAATAATTCTTCAGAAATGTTTATCCCTAGATTGCACAGCCTCCGATGGTACAATTACGAGTTTCGAATGACCGTGTGTCATTGTTATTTCGATACAAGATTTCGGAATATTTTGGAATATCCGAAAGCACACACGGACCATTGAGCAGCTATCTCGCCAGACACCGAGTAATAACTATTCCAACGACCGGCGCAGAGGGCGGAGGGTACGCGAAGATGAACGAGCCCTGCGTTCTATGTTCGCTCTGCATTTATCGAAGGCATATGCTTTATACGTGCATAGCATCAAAGAAGTATTTCTGGGATCAGTTCCTAAAAGGCCAATGCTGGCCATACACCAGTTTGAATTGAATAGCATTGATCAGTTGTACACGAATTGCGAAAATAATTCTTTCTGAACCTATATATCTAAACCAAAATAAATTGCATATATCTTTAAAATTATAGTTCTTTTTATTGTTGTTTATGGAAAATTTAGTTTGTATATAGGTTATATACAAGTGTGGGCAAGATAAAGATTATGTATTGACTTCTAATTTTAGTTGATTCTATAACACATCTCGACAATTTACAGGCCTCGTTACCGTGCAAAACGTTTTCCTACAGGCAACTTCCAGCATATAAAATC